TATCGTATTTTTAAATTCATCTCGATAAATCTTAGCTGGTGATATAAAAATAGGAAAAGTAGCCATTAAAGGAATAAATGAAATAAAATAAGCCATTAAGTAAAGATATTTTTGCCATAAATGAATAATACAAATTAATGTAAATGAAAAAATCAATCGAATCATACTGAAAAGAATTAATATTATTGGAATTCCATAAAGAGGAAGTTGTTGTTTAAAAAATTCAAAATATTTCTCTTTATCTTCTTTTTTAGCTAAATTTTGTTTTAATCTTGTTGATTTATGTAAAAGAATAATTGTTGAAAATAATTGAATAATACAAGGAATAAAAAGATGAAATAAATTCATCACTAATCGATAATATTTTATCCATGACCAATGAAATATAACAACACACCATGTATGAACAATTTCATCACGTGGATCATCAATTAATTGATAACTAAAAAATTCATGCCACGAACTAATTAAAATCATTATTATTAAAATAAAAATAATACGTTTAGCCCAAATAACACTTTTTTTGTTTATTAAAAGAAATACCTTGAATTATATTAACAAGTCTTTCTAATGATATAAATGTAATTAACCAATCAAATAATATTGGACAGAAATTTAGAAAATATTCTAAACTAACACAAGACCAATATGTTGTTGTTCGATATTTAATAGGATAAATTTGTGTTATTAATAAATAAATAAATCTTCCAAGAAGAATTAATAAACCAAATTGACCAATAAATGGTAAATAATATAAATAAATCCCACAACCAATTTGTCGAACTTTTTCTTGTTTTAATGTTATAAAAGATAAGGTATTAAAGATTAAACCAAAGATAAACATTAAAATAAGAACAATAAATGTTATTTTAATTAAAAATGGTTGATGCTTTATTGGAGTATTTTCGCGAATATCACGACCAAGCATTATATCTAATGATAATGTAAATTCTGTTGTTATTAATTGACAAAGTGAACCAAATGTACAAGATTGACAAATACAACGAAAATCCCAATATCCATTAATATTATTTGAAATACATTGTCCATTATTTTGACAATAATTTATTGAACATTGACTTGAATCTCGAAGAAAAATAGTACAATATACATGACGATATGCATCACAAAAGCATAAATAATTCTCATCAATAAAATATTTTAAATTTCTTTTTAAAGAACAAATATGATTATAATATTTCACTTTTTTCATCCAGGAATATTTTTCAATTGTTTTATTTTCAAATAATTGATCAGCATAAAAAAGTTGATCTTCTGGATAAACAATTGTTGTGATATTCTCATTAGGTTTCTTCCTAATAACACCAATATAAAAATCCATTTGATTATGTTCACTATACATTTGAATAATGACAAATAATGAATCAGGATTTTGTTTTTCATAGAAAATTTTCAATGATTGATCAAATGATGATGAATTGACAAAGAAACGATCTTCAATGGAGAGAATATCTAATAAAGGAGAATCTGATAAACGAAGAATATGAATAAGTATTGCAAAAGATTTGAGATAATAATTCGATAGAAAACTTGATGAGAATTGTATAAGAATTTCATTTTGAATATTTTCACAATAACTTCCCGAATAACCATCGGGACAAATACATTGATATGTAATATCTGCTCGTTCATCAAATGGAATACATGTACCACCATTTAAACATTGAATAGTTTTACATGGATTAAACCATCCTTGACAATTTGCTCCGAAACGACCTAATGGACAGATACAAAAAGGTTTTGAAGCCTGTGAAAGACATTTTCCACCTTGAAAACAGGGACAAATCATATTTGTATCACATTGTGGACCAGACCAATGTTGATGACAATGACAAAAAGTATGATAAGGATAATTTAAATATCTTAGACAATATCCATGAATACAATTTAATGTATTACAAGATTTCGGATAATTTAAAATTAAATATAATACTAATCGATTAAATGGAAGAAATGAATATTGAATATAATATAACCATGATGCTTTATAATCAACATTATATTGATTAACATAATAAATATCGAATCGTATTGACCAGTTTACATTTGATGATTTAGGTGGTGGACGAGGATAAGTTAAATAGATATTGTGTTTCATTGAACGTGCCTGTAGAATATGTTCATAATAAAGACAAGTTTCATTTAACATTAAACAAGCAATTAATCGAAGAGAAGTTTGTTGATTTTGATTTCGTTTTAAACTGATTGGAATATCCATTTGAATAGTTATTATAATTCTTTCAGATTGATATTCACATCTTAAACCATAATAACTCGGTGGACAGAAACATTGAAAAGTTTCATTGAAACGTTTTTTGATTATAAGACCACGATTACAGTACCAATTGGCGAGAATACGATCTGTATTCGATAGCATTCTTTTCTTTTTAAATGATGTTTCTTCTATTAATGTCGTTTTATCTAATAATAAACAAATATAACATATGAATCTATTGAAATACTCTACCTGAATTATATAAATTTGAAATCGAATCACTGTTAGAAGAAATACTGATGGTAGTTTGAGGATGTTCTGAAATATAATCTGATAAAGAATATTCGCGTTTTTTCTTTTGTACTTCACAAAACCATTCATCTTCAGCATCGGGTTGACAATCAATCTTTTCATCACAATGTAATGACAGAGAAATTAATGTACCATTTTTACAATAAAATCCACTATCCCGACCACTTGTTCTATTTATCGACCATGGACAAATTAATTCATCTTCATTATTAGGACAATCTCTCATTAAATCACATAGGTCAGTGGGCAAGATCTTCTTTCCACTACTACAATGAAGTTTCATATAATAACCAACATTTGTTTTAACTCGTCTTTCATCAGTACATGCTAAACAATGACAATAATTATCACCAGCATATTTTTTATCTAAACAACCATTTGTTCCATTTCTAAATACACAATAGTGTTGATTAATATTACATTTAAAAACAGTTTGTCGTATATAAAATTCTAATGTCGATGAGCAATTTAATTCATCTTCACCATTGTTTAAATCCCAAAATCCATCACATATTCGATATTTAGGCCATTGATCACAACTCGTTTCATCAGTTTCATTTTCAACAGGTATCTTTAACTTCTCTTTTCCATCACAATTTTCATCAAATTTATAATAAATTGAACGATGATAAAATTCACGATACTTTTGCTTACTACTAGATGAATCATATGATGAAAATATATTCCATGTATCAGATTTTTCTAGACAATCACTATCACTAGTTAAAACTCTTAGACTCCAATTCGAATTATGAAGACATTCTAAAAGACTTGTTAAATTAAATTTTAATTTAATTTGTGGATTTATTTCTTTGAATTCATCTTCTGAATAATAACAATCAATAATACCATCATTAATTCTCTCTTCTGATATATATTTTCTTGTTTTATTGCAATAAAATAATTCATTTGGCTTTTCAATATCGAATGTATGGGGAAAATGACACGACGAAAATATTCGTTGAAGATCGTGAAGATACTTATGCCCGATAAACACATGTTGTTTTTGAAAACATGTTAAACCATTAATTAAGATGACATTATCAATTGGAAAATTCTTACAATAACTACGATTAAAACAATAATACGTGGGATTTTGATAAGAAATTGATGAATCTATATGACGATCGTAGAAAAAGCGAACAAATGGATAATAAATATTTTTATGATTTTCGAATTCAAATAGAAAAGGACAAAATTGGTTATAAAGTTCTTTATCATTTGTAGAATATTTCGTACATTCGAAATGTAAATCTTCTGAAAAATCCCAAGTGTAATCATCAGTTGAACAAATTAATGATAACCAACAATCCAGAGTAAAATTTTCATTTACTAAGGCTAAACTTGAATGATAGATTTGCTGATGAAAGAAAAGATCACGACCATTAGCACAAGAAGGCGAATTTAATGGAAATGATGAACATTCTCCATCACCACATGGAAATGTTCCTAAAGGACAAGTATACATATCACAAGTCAATGATGGCCAGAATGATTGATAACAACCTAGATCATCTGTTTCTTTATATGGTACCATTTCATCACTGTGATCCATACAATCGGGATAAAAATCAACAAGAAATGCTTTTGGAATACAATGACCAGATTGACAACGATATTCATCTGATTGACATTGATTTAATTCAAGTTGAAAACATTCTTCAGGTTCATCTTCGCCATATTCACAATTAGAAATTCCATTACAAATTTCTCTCCAATCGAGACATATTGTTGAATGACATTGAATACCTTGATAACACGTCAATAATGAAATATCATCAATAACTTCCAAAACATCATTTAATGGACGTTTAACAGTCATTTGCCTATTAATTATAAGAGACAATAAGATTCTTCTCAAACCATACTTCTCATCGGGATCTACTATTTCATATTGACAAAATGGACCAAACCAATTCTCTAAAAATGAAATTCAACAAAATTTAGACAATAAACAATGAAGATTTTACCTGTGCAATTGCAAAAAATCATATTTGATAAAAATGAATTATTTTCCAAAAAATATTTTTCATAATTATTCAATGTATCAATTGGTGCATTCCAATTAAATAAATCAGAACTACGAATATCTTGAGATTTTAATTGTTCAAATGTATAATTTCTATCTTCATTACATTGTTTATCACTTTCATCAATATTTGAAAGATTATTTCTCATACAATAAGATATCATCGATTGAGATTCTGCTGGATGTCCATCCATTAAAATAGTATATAAACAATTTCGATCATCAGGATTATTTGATACAATTGTATTATATAAATGGAAATATCCATTGACAGAAGAATTAAAGAAAAATATCAGAATATATTGAATAAAAATCATTTAATTGTATTTGATCTCAGTGTTGAGTGTTGCAAAATAAAATGCGATGGTGTAAAATCATAGATGAAACTATGTATGAAAACGTGATATTTAGATGAACGTGTTTGGAATTATTTAACTTCTATCTGCTCTACGTGTTTTAGCTAAATTGATAAAATAAAACTATTAGATGATTTCCTTATAGCTAATATTATGTTACTAAATCATAAAATATCATAAAAATGTTCAGACGTTGGATTCTATGAATCATTTGTTTCTAGAAAAATCTTGAAAATGAGGGTGAGAGTGAGTAAGATTGACACTCACTCTTGACAGAGAAGTAATCTTGAAATGTTTCATTGATGAAATCGGATAGAATTTATTGAGAAAATATGATTGACAAAAAAGTTCGAAAAGTAATAATTGAAAAGATGAAATCGTTCATCATAATTACACAAGTTCTACTTTATATCACTTATAAACAATGGTCTCCACTTTGAAAGTAATATTGAATGATAAAGAAGTTAATCCAACACTTGTGCGTACATGTTTGCTTACTACCTCACTTGAGAAGAACACCAATCGATTGGCTTGAACTGCACTGACATAATTTCCCAGAGTGAATGTAAGCTTGGATAAATGTTCATCTAGAAGTTCACTTTTAAGCGTCTCTCCATGCCGTTTTTGCTTTCTGCAGTGATATCGTCTCTAATGATCAAAATGACTTTATAGTTGTGAGATAGTGCATTCACAGATCAATTCTACATACGTTCGCACTCTCAACAAAAATTTGTGTGTTTAAGTTAATTTTTACAATAATACAATAGCAAGCATACAAAGATCAACTGAAACGTTCATTAATATCGTCTTAAACGTGTATATAATATAGAATATTGACACAATTTGTAGGGTGTGGGTGAGGGTGTGTGTGTGTGTGTGTGGATGGTGTGGATGACGCTGTGAATGTGGATGAGGATGCGGATAGCTAGCGTGTTAGGGTTCCTTTCATCCCACACCCACAAGATGCGACCAAAAAAGCAATCCCTTTGACGCGTTTTATGGTCTAGAAGCTGGCCTTGATATTATATGTGTTCTGATTGATGTAAGAAGCTGAGTTTTTCTTTCGTAATGGCTCTAGTTAGTTTTCTTCAACCTTCCTCGCTTCGCTGGAACCATTAATAGCGTATAATGGGCTGTCAGTCAAAAGTAATAATGATCGATAATAATCGCTTAACACTTGAAGTTGTCTTGGTTGGGGTAAATCCAATAAAAAGATTATTGATGTATATAACAGGTAAGAAGTTTTTTAGGAACAGAGAGTCCCTTTGAAAGGAGATTTTGTTCAAGTAGCCAATAGTATATTATTTCAAAGAGCATATCTTATAATAGAGAGTGATGTTATGACAATCATAAACGAATTCAGAATGGGAATCTTTTTGAAGAGAAAAACCAATATGAATCATTTAAGCGACATTATTCCCGCGACTGAAAGGAGGGTCACACGAAAAAAAAAGTTTGTATGTTTGTCTGTTTGTGTCAGGGTCAGAGGTCAAAGGTCAAAAAAACATTTTTTTTCGAAAATGCTCTCAACTTCATGAAACATCGTTTGGGAGGGATTCTGACGCTCGAGGTTGGCTGGAGAAGGGATGAAGGGGCAGGGACGTGACAGAAATGAAGAAAACATTTCATCTGTGCCTGAGAGGAGGGCTACATAGAAGAGTTGATTACGGAAAGTAAAAACACACTAGGTTGACTGTCGCATACCAAAGACCAGTAATTCAAAAAAACATTCATTCACAAGTTACATACTGAAGAGCAATTTTAAATGCTGAACTTCGATATATTGAAAGTTTTTGTAGGTCTTTAAGCCTTTTAATTAAGGAGATAGCCTCAAATGTTCGGACGCTGATAATCTCATCCGCGAGATGCTCCTGAAATGCTAATTAATTTTCGATACTTTTTAGTAGCAACACCCTCAATTATATGATAGACAGGGACACCTTTGGAGCGGCGAGTTGTGAGTGGCGCAGACGAACAACGAACTGTGCCTGGTAATCTAGCCAGTTACCAAAGTATCAACAATGCGACACGTTCGAATGCGAAATATATACAGAGTCTTATTTGATCTTACTGAAATTATCTTTCTTTTAGAAAAAGGAGGACATGTTTAAAGGTGTAAATCCATAAGTCATTTATAGCGGACTTCTGCTTCCTG